GTTGTGTCAAATGATGATGCATAACGTTTTTTAATACACCGAATTGACAACGGCGTTTCCAGTTATTTTCCGATAATGACAAGGAGAACACGGCAGGTATGACCAGTTTCTAATGTTTTAGACGTCCGTGTTTGCTCTTCTGTGTTGTATTGCTTTATGAACTTTCATATTGAATTCTGTTTATTTTCTCCATATCCTTTATCTATCAATAAACATCCACAACATATGACTGGCGGTTATAATCAAAGACCTGTGAAAGGAGATACATTTATTTTAAAACTAATTCAAAACATATTCAAGTCTTTATTTACACGTTAATAATATCATCTGATCCGTTTTTTTTAGCTACACTAAACAATCTCACATTTTTTTTCAGAGTATAGATAGGCGTTCAAGGACCAAATACCAGATTTTGCTCCATCTCTATATCGCTCTTTGGTATCCTCTGAGTTCTATCGCAATGTTCGTCATTAGAGATTGTCAACATTGACACAAAGAATACAAAATAAAGGGACCCAGTTAAACAGTTTGATGACATTGAAATGAATTCATCTAAAGAGATGACAATTTCCTCTTCTATCAGAAAAGTAAATGAAATAACTATCGAACACTTAAATAATGCACATTTATCTGCTTTGGAACCTGATAAATTCTTGGCCAGTGATGACTGGGAAAACCTCATTCAGTCTGACATGATAGGAAACATCTTGTGGAAAAAATCAACTAATAATTTTATGGGGGTGACTGCAAAAATAGTCAGATTTAGCAAAGGATGGATGAAGCTACAAGATATTCATTTGAATGATAAAGGACAAAATCTTTATTTAAGTGTACGCTTTATCACAGAGAATATAAACGGTGACATCTGCACATCTGACTACCTGGACAGTAAGGTTGTGGTGGTGACCAGAACAGGAGAGTACCGGTTCTCTTACTATGGTCACCCGCGTCAGATTGGTTTCCGTCCCTGTGGAATCTGTACAGATGTCCAGGGACATATTGCGCTGTGTAATGGCTATGAAGACTCTACTAACCAGTGCTCCAGTGTCCACTTGCTGGGTATGGATGGTCAGTACTCTACTAACCAGTGCTCCAGTGTCCACTTGCTGGGTATGGATGGTCAGTACTCTACTAACCAGTGCTCCAGTGTCCACTTGCTGGGTATGGATGGTCAGTACTCTACTAACCAGTGCTCCAGTGTCCACTTGCTGGGTATGGATGGTCAGTTTCTGTTTTTCCTTCTTACGTCAGACCAATGTCCACCCTTTCCCTGTGCTCTCTGTATTAACAATCAGCAAATTCTGATCGTGAGTTTAGCCAGTCCAACCGTTAATGTGTATAAGTATTTACACCGCAAATAAGAATAAAATTCTACGTACTGCAATGCTTAAACTATCATCATATCGTGTTTCACTTGCAGGTTTTGTTTTGTTTAGCGATATTTTTTGTATATGTAAATTTCAAAAAGGATATTTTTTATAGACGTTAAAAGGAACCGTAAAGATAAACTGTGAATTTTTTTTATTTTCATAGTCTATAAATTGACATATTTCATATTACTGTAGTTATCATGAAGATATTATAGTTTAGATATTAAAGGTGAATATGTTTTAATAAAAAAAGAGATTGACCAACTTGATGAAGAGAGCACCAAATTGTTGTAAAATGTGATTTGAAAGAAAGAAACGAAGCAATAATAAATTTGTGACTTTTCCTTTATTTTTCCATTATAATGAACCTTTAATGAAGAGTATTTATTTTTGATTGTTTCTGATAAATGCCTGTGTGACAAGTCTGTGTTATCTTCACGCCAATAACAAAAAAAAAACTTAAAAGTAGTCCTTTATAAAAATGTAACGAAGTAAATTAAATCTCCCTTATGCTCAAATCATTTAAATATAGAGCTGGTAGAAACCGTATAAGTGTACTTATTAGCGAGGATTCAGTTTAAGATTATAAACTATGGTGCCAAGATTGTTAAACTTCAATATCGCTAAAAATAATAACAATTTATTTTTGATAGCTTATTTATAAAAACCTTTTTAAAATCGCTAAAATTACATTTTCCTAGAATTAAAATTATCAATTTTGTTAAGGAAAGATCGCTAAATTTGCGTATCACCAAAATTACTACTTATACGGTATCTTTCTACCATATTAGGAATTATTGAAATTTTCTTTCCAATAAATCAATGCCAAGTCAAACATCTAAATGATATGATTGGTAAGTAGAATGAATCTAAAAATAATTACTTGTATCGTGGAAAGAATCTTGTAAGAGAAAATTTTACGTTTAAACTAATGTAAATTAAATAGAGATTGAGAATATATTATTATTAGGGATGTCAACGAGTACCCGGTTAAGCGGGTACTCGATCAAACGTCCGATTATCGAATACTAAAATCGGTATTCGGTTACTCGAATGTATATTTTAAAATATTTCTAAGCTTATTTATTAGTGCATTAAAACATTGGTCTTAAACCTTAAAATATTCATTGCGCTTGTACATACAGTAATTAGGGTTTCCTGCGCCTCTAAATGACCGTTATCGTCTGTGGCAGTGTTTATACAGTAATTATCGTGACCAAGCACCTGTTACCCGGCTTTTTCTCACCTTCGGTTGTCTTCTACTCTTATATTTAGTTTGCTCTAATTATTTGTTTTCATTGAACATCGTTTAAGGTCTATTATGTTTAAATAAGATAATTTTGTCAATTTTCCAGAAGGCGTAAATTCTCGGGGAAAGAGACAGATGAAATTGCACGTGCGATTGTTGATATGGATGCGTTTGATTACGTGCCAATTAATGCAAATGGCTGAATACAAATTAAAGGCTTTAAAAATATTATAGCCATCGTTGCACCAATCTACAACATACCGTCTCCTAATTTTATGAAATCTAGGATTGACGGATTTACGAAGATCGTAAATCCGCTCTGTTAAAGGATAACTTGATCAAGTTGATACTGTACATGTAGCTCTGACGACCTCTCAGTCGGACTTAAAACGAATCAGAGAGTTACATTAAATTAGGTAACAGATTATTATTCTAAACAAAACTACTGTGAACCATTTATGATTTTATTTCTCGTATTTATCTGATAAATTTAACTTTAAAAAATGTTAGATTAAATTTCGTCGGGAACAGAGTGGTCATAATTGTTACAACACATTTACAGGTAAACCTCCCATCAGACCATGTGGTTTTATTTCTACAAAAGTTTACAATGTTTTACAGTTATCAATTAACTTGTTCATATTTAATTAGACTTTTACTGAGTACCCGGGTACTCGATCGGAAAAACGTCCGAGTAACCGAGTATTAAAAATTGACCGATTTGACATCCCTAATTATTATATTTGTGTCTTCATGTAGCTTTCATTTCTGTATACGGTATTTATAATAGGTACTTAATTGACGTTATATGTACAAATTACTTTGTACACTTATTTGATATAAATTTGAGAGTTGAAATAACTATTATTAAAAAAATTGTAAAAAGTAAGCGTACTTCCAGCACCTAAGTTTTAGTTACATATTTCTATATCTTCGGAATTGGTTGTCTCAAAATTTTCTTACTATTTTCCTTTTTAAAAAGATCACAATAATTTTCGATATAATGTTAATTCAAAAGTTATATAAAGAATTAAATTTGGTCTTGAGTCCTAAGACCGTTTGTAAAACGGGCCCTTGGTTACCAGCCTTACATCCCGGCCTCTGGATCATGAAAGAAACTTTGACTTAAGTCAAATTTTCAATTGCCCATAAAATATTTATCAATTATGAAATTTATTTCTAAATTTGCATATGATACATGAAATATTTCTGTATAAAGAATATAGCAAATTATTTTGATTTTGTTATGCTTGACTTCTACAATATTTTATTATTAAGTTTAGATTTTGATTTAAGCTTAAGAGTTTCATGCTATAGAGGCCTATATTAAAATTAGAGTATCACAAAAATGGGGAAGAACACAGCAATTTTGCAAAGGGGGGAAATATATCCTAATTTTATAATTTCTGATCATTGAGGTTCGGCGTTGTTTTAGGTAGGCATAAGTGATGAGTGCAAAACTGATCTACACATCATTGAAGGCTACCTGACAGGTTTAAAATACCAAAATGATATTCTTCATCCTGTTGTGAGACGTATTACAGATACTCTGCGTTTACCTTACATTGTAACTAGGACATTGCGGGATTTGTATTACTTTTCATTTACCTTGACATGCCAAGTGAGATTAACTGATGGGAAAGTGAGATATTGGCAACCCCCTACCTCACCAAGAATAGCGCAATCTACCATTTTCTTGTGTTCTCGCTGAATCTCGATGGTCTGCGCCAAACCCCAATGGTTTGTTGTCGGTACGAACGCCAATGCCAGATGGATCGTTTCTTACTAGGCGATCTGCGCTAAAGTTCAATGATCTGACAGACCAAAGTTCGATGATGAGAAGAAACAATCAACGTTTTTGATTATCAAATTATCTACGATGTCTGAGATTACGAGTGACAGATATATACGTGTATTTTGTCATTGGACCAATTTCTTTTTACAAAACACAGATCTTTAGAAGATAATCATGTTTAAATACAAAAATGATTGTTTCTGGTAAATAATGAACCTTTTGTACGCTTATCTTTCCATTATTTGAAAACAGTTTATCTTTATTCCATAATATGATAGTTCTTTTATTCTCTTTACATTCTGTTCAGTATACAAAAAATGGACATTTAAATGTTTTGTTGGCAAAGGTATTGGATGTTGACTGCATACAACCTGAAGAAACATACATTTTTGTGGCTGGTACTAATCATGACTGGAATGGCATTGTGATAGGAATTCATTTATTAATAGGAGAAGAAGGTAATGGCTTCAGTGAATTTCTTTTAAATTTTGATTGTAACGTATACTAGAAAGTATTTCCGCTTATAAGTGTCTTACCTACGCTATGGTAATGTTTAAACTTTATTTTTAAGTTTTGATTAACAATAATGGACCAAGTCCCGGATACAGCCCAGCACTTTATCGAGTGTGACACGGAATCGTGTGGGAACTTTTCTGCGTTTTACTGTAATACCTGCAATCAGCGAATCTGCTGTCAATGCGAACAGCATCATCTAGATCAGAATAATGGACACGAGATTGTCCTCTTTCATGAGAAAAAAAGAAAACTTCCGTCAGAAAAATGCAGCATCCACCCAATAAATGACATAAATGTACACTGTGACGTCTGCCAGGATCCCCTTTGTTATATGTGCTTTGCCCAACATCACAGTGATCATGATTTCAGTGACTTTGAAACAATTTACAATGATCTTCTGCAGCAATGTCAGAAGGAAGTTACTCATATTTGGAAAAGAGAAATTCCTAAGGCTAGAGATAATGCTGCCTTACTTGAGAAAAAGAAAGAAAATGTCAAGAAAGAAATTGCTAAGTTTAGAGTTTCCATGAAGGAAAAAGCAGATAAACTGAAGGGTGCTATTGACAGTAAACTAACTGATAATAATAAAAAACTGAATGAAATAGAGAACTCTGTGATATCCGATACTGTAGAACAATTGAAGGAAACAAAGGAATATATGAAATACCTGGAAAAATTGATTACAGATTGCGAGAGTAATTTATTTTCAATTAAACCCACTGAACTCACGGATTTCATCAGACTTAAGATATTTCTTTAGCTGCCCAAAAAGACCCATCAACTGAACCAAAACTGCCGTTGTTCACACTATGCACACTAAATAAAGAAGAAATAGTCAAACAACTCGGTGAAATGGAAGAAAAAGACGTAGAGTCGTCTGAAAAGTTTGACCCTTCGTCTGTCAAAAAAAAGGTGAAGTACACTGTAACTACCCCGGCATACAGAATTTACCATTTGTCCCCCTCGCCCCCGAATAGAATTTGGGTCATCGATGGCTTTGGAAATCTCACTCAGTCTGACATGGAAGGAAATATCTTATCAAGGGGAATTTCGACAAGCTTGTGGTACATGTATATCATAGGTAACCATACAGTCACAAGAGAGGGAGAACTTCTTTACACTGATTACGGTAAAAATACCGTCTATAGGGTAACTGGTGAGAATGCCATCAACAAACTAATTGATACATGGACCTGGGGTCCTGGAGCCATCTACTCCTCTCCCATCAATGGACACCTTTTAGTTGGGATGGAGCTAAATTCTGACTGGAAAATAACCAGATACAACATCGAAGGAAGGAAATTATTGGAAATACAACATGTCCAAGAGGACGAAAAAGGACAAATTCTCTACTAAGAGAGATAAAGGACAGACTCTTTATGGAAGCGTTTACTTCATCTCAGAGAACATGAATAGTGACATTTGTGTATCTGACTTTAAAGCCAAAAAGGTGGTAGTAGTGACCAGATCAGGTCATTATAGGTTCTCTTACTCTGGTCTCGAGTCTCAGTCTGGATTCTGTCCCTATGGCGTCTGTACATATGTTCTGGGGCATATTTTGGTGTGTAATAGCTATTTTAGACTTGATAAAAGTTACTCAAGTGTCCACTTGCTGGATAGTAATGGAAATTTCATGTCTCTATTGCTCAATCCGGAACAATGTCCCTTATTGTCCTGCGCTCTTTGTATTGATGACAAACACAAGAGATAGTTCTAATATCTTTGTGTACCAGTATTTGCAAAACATGGGAAAGTAATGCATTATGTATTGAATTGCTCGTATTTAATCAGTTTGTGTCACTACACTTGCTGGTTTGGACTCATTGTAAACACACCAATTAAACGAATGAATTTCTGTTACTGATTTGTTTTCCCAAGAATGACTGCTATACACTACCTTTATGGTATCTTAATCATTTTTGTCTAAATGGGAAAAGTTAGGAAATGATTACGCAGCATTGTTAAGGTCGAAAAAGGGATGAAAATGAAATAATTTGCAACTTTTAACTGTATTCGCATAATAAACAAAAATAAAACTTATCAATGCATTAAAAAAAGGTTGCTAGTTAGATCCCATGTAGCTGGTTATAAACAAAGCAATGATTGTGATGACCTTGTGAACATGACGCCATTATGGTAAAAATTACGTATTTCATGTGCTGTGAGAGACAAACTTAGGAATTTTTTTAACAATGAAAAATGTGTGTTATTAATAAACGAAATATTATTTACTGGTTTTAAATAGTCGATTAATACCAATGTATATACTTTGCTTACTTTGCGATTATTAATTAACTATCAAGAGAATGTATTTTTTTGATGATGTCGTGTTTATATGTACAGGAAACGTATATTTTACATCAATATGTCTCATAAATTCGTACTTTCGCAAGGGCATACAATTAATAGATCTGAACCCTTTTTCGAATATATATAAAGGATATATTCCTTGAAAATTGCTGCTGCTTTTACTAAATCGAGAGCGTGATTTTATAAGTATACACAATATTTTGTAAAAGTCAAACATATTTCGATATTGGCCTATTTACTTGAAAATTTAACTATTAAAACGCGACCTCTATTCAAAGCAGTACAAAGTATGCAGAAACAATTCATAGCTTGAATTTTTAATTTCAAGTAGGGTATTCCCTTGCGATATTGAAATTTGTTAATTGCCTTCGTTTAGTACACGAACTATGCATTCATCACTTGACTATCCATCAATGGGACTATATAAACTTCATACAGTACAAAGTGGATTATACTATGTTATTTCCACAAGTATTTAAGTTCTGTGATAATACAGCAGATTAATTAAAATAAGTAATGTTTTTAAAAAGTCCCCCTTTTTTCTGCACGTTAATTTCTCATAGAAGGCCTTAGCGCTGCGTATATGATTTAGAAGTCATTTTTAAATTAGTAAGTTGTTACTGTCAAATTATTAATAAAACGCAAGGTTTCAACATGTACTCTCTTATATCATCTTCATATCATATTTTATGCTTTCCTTTGATTGTACATGGATTTTATCCTATTAAATGAAGTATACAGTCCAGATTTGACATGATGAATTTCAGGATCCGCAAAAGCATTCATAATATACACAAGTTAAGATGACCACAAAGAGATGTTATTTATTTTGAATATGCATGAATTGTTACATGTGTGTGTATTTAAAATATAATAATAATTACATATTATTGGAATCTGTGTTTCAAAATAAAAGATACCTTTTGTTCGTTCCATACACTATATATTACCACAGAAAGATAAAAGAAAATCACCGCAGATATGCGACAATTATGCATGGTGAATATACATATTATGAGTTCATCAAACCTTTTTAATGTAAAAAAACATCGCTAAATTATTGTTTTGGACCCAATATATGTCTACATAAGGAATTAAAAGTTGATTTACTTGATGGTGGATATAAATACAGTTTGATTTAGAAGCATTGAAAAATTATCTGTATAGTGTTCTCATTTTTTTTACTTTAAAGCTCTGTGCTTTTTTAATACTGATTGGTAATATTCCGTAGAATTTTACTTTGTTTATCAATAAATTGTAATTTTAAATTAATTGTGATTGTTATTGAATGAAAGCTCTTTTGAATGCTCAAAGCACTGGCACATTACTTTACTTATCATTTTGACAAGATAAATTCCTTTTAAATTAGAAATATAAATCGCACTTTATTCAAACACAACCTAGTCAAGAACTCCCGAGTCCGGGTATTGTATGCAATAAATAAGATATTTTTACACATGCGCTGATACGGATCTGCGGGGCTGTTACGGGTCGATATCACGTTCCTAGTAATTTAAACTTCAGAAAACAGTGGTGATACATATATTTTTGGATACACATTCTTTTTAAACTTTTTGACTGAAGGGATCACCTAATTGACATGAGATTGTTTTAAACTACAGATGGGACACATTTGAAATTGAAGTAGAAACATACTCAAACAATATGAGATAATAAGCTTTATCTCATACATGTACGTGTGGATGATACAGCCCGTTGGATAAACCTATGCTTTATCCACAGGTAGATACTTTAACAATAGCACTTCTGGTTTTGACACGATCCCTTGCTTCAAGATTTTGTTTAATTGGAATTTTTATTTGAAAAAAAAAGTCTTGCCCTTCTATAATGAATGGTAAAGAGCAATAATGTCGTTAAAAGCAAGGAAAAGACTCGTATATGTCAAAGAAGTTTCTTATTTTATCAATGTACCTGTATTGGCTACTTGAGGACGAATGATTACCCCTCCCCTTCCTTTTATTCATTTTAGAGAAAGTAAAGCCTACTAGTTAAGATGTTGTTATAAAATTCCTCTAACATCTTCAGCAATACCTTCTTATATTATACTAAGTATGTCTATCTAGTAATTTAGGTGTAACTTAACATGGATCAACCGTAATGAGTGTACAATTTAAGTAGAAACCCTTTGAATATAACAAAGTTTAAATTCAAAACCAAAAGTCCATAAACTACACAAATTAATAGCATTGTAAACACAGACCACTAAAACATCAAAGATGAGATAAGTTGCCATAGAGGGGTGAACATCCTCTGCTGACAGGTCACACCTACCTCGTGCTCTACATTGTGATCGGAAAATAACGGCAAAATCCGTAGTCAATTCAGTACATTTGACTCAGTGATAAATTGTGTTTGCTGACACGGCCATTGTATAGACTATAGAACTTGTAAAACAACGACTTAAACGAGACTGCAGATATTTCGGTTTCGTCAACTTGTTTATACTTTGCCTCGTTTTAGAAAATTTTTCATACGTAGGAATAAAGTTTCTCAATGCAATATTTACATTGCATTTTGCTCCAACAAAATATACCGGTATGTACTCAGTGTGTCTGATTCAAGAAAATAAAAGCAAGGTTTTCTTTTTAGCACTAGCATTTTTTTATAATTAAATCCACAAAAAGTCAGCAAGTAACAAAAATATCTTTTCTCTAGTAAAGGAAATTTATAACCCCCCCCCCCCCCCTTAAAATAAATAAATAAACAATATTCTCAATATATCCGACCGTGCGTCTATTATAACCTTGGCTTTACTCTGCATGGAGTTCATAATCGCATTTTTTTTTTTCAAATGAATATTTAAATAATATTTATGAACCCTAACCCTAACCCTGCGTACAGGACAGGCCCTAGTTGGTCGAGATTAGTTAGGCCATACCGAGGACTTAAATTCCAAGCGTTCACTTCGACCCACAGATCTCGGATGGAGAAAAAGATAGATTATTGGAGTTAGTTGATTTACTTTATGTAAATTTTCAAAAATGATTGACTGTTTTAGAACATATAATGAGTTACATTCCTCATTTCAAATTGGCCGTAGCAGCTGCGATTTTATATTTCAACCTACATGATTTGAATGTAATTTTTGGCAGGTAATGTACCACATACAACAAACTAAGGGTTGGGTATAAGATAATTAAGTTTTGAGTGAATTAGATGATGTTCTACATGTATGGTCCGAGAAAAAGGCGCCATTTCATTATGCTCAAATGAAAACATTTGTCATAAATAATTCAAGAAAGCCAACTAATTTATGTAGCATTATATTTTATTTTCACGCAACCCTTATATCATATTAAGTTAGTGCTTGATATGTGTTATCTAACCTCATTCTTCTCTCTTGAATATGTGCACCTGTGGAAATATCAATAAAGTGCACGGATTTAAATGTTTTCAAACATTTGCATACTAACTGTGTATGAGGTCTTTCTTTACAAATGGCCGACCCGAATTATGACTGGAAAGATATTGTGAAAGAGACTTACCAGCATTTACAAGATCACTGTCAGGTACGAAACTTTAAACAGTTATTCCTTCCTTTAAAATATTACACATTGATATGTATTTAAACCGATTCTATGTTAAAAGTGCCTTACCTATAATCTCATGATAAATAATTTCTAGATGTCTTGATTTACGATAATGGATCAAGTACCAGATACAGCCCAGCACTTTATTGAATGTGACACGGAATCCTGTAGGAACTTCTCTGAGTTTTACTGTAATACCTGTCACCAGCGAGTCTGTAACCAATGCAAACAGCCACATCTATTTCAGAATATAGAACATCAGATTGTCCCATATCTGGAGAGAAAAAGAAAACTTCCTTCTGAAAAATGCAGGATCCACCCAACGAAAGATATAGATATCTACTGTAACTTTTGCCAAGACCCCTTTGCAGGAAAAACACAAATTGTCGTCCATTAAGCACACTAAACTCATGCATGAAGTTCTATTTCGATATTTCATTAGCCTCTAAGAAGGTGCCTAACATAGCTAACCTTAAAATACCAATTTTCTCACAAGGTAAACTGAATAAAGAAGAAATAGTCAAGCAGTTTGATGAAATTGAACTCAATTTTTCCGAAAGGTTTGAGGTTTCTTCTGTTTCAAAAGTGAGTGAAGTAACTATCCAGGGACATAAAATTTTCCATTTGTCTACCTTGTCCCCCAACAAATTTTGGGCTAGCGATGGCACAGGAAATCTCCTTCAGTCTGACATGGAAGGAAACATCTTACAAAGAATAACTACCAAGTTGTGGAATATCCGAGGTAATCACACAGTCACAACAGGTGGAGAATTTCTTTACAAGGATTACCATAAAATAGTATACCGAGTAACTAGCAAAAAAATCCAACAAACTTATCATGACAGAGAGTTGGGGACTTGGAGCCATCTTCTCCTCTTCTATCAACGGACACATTTTGGTCGGGATGGAAAGAAATGCAGAGAAGAAAGTAACCAGATACAACAAAGAAGGGAGAAAGTTACAGGGCATACAGTGGGGTGATCAAGGACAATCTCTTTACCAACGTATAGATTACATAACAGAGAACATTAATGGTGACATTTGTTCATCAGATAGTAGTGCCGGTAGGGTGGTGGTGGTGACTGCATCAGGAGAGTATCGATTCTCTTACTATGGTCTCCACCGATTCTCTTACTCTGGTCGCCACTCTCAGTCTCGATTCTGTCCTTTTGGAATATGTACAGATGTTTTGGGGCAGATTCTAATTTGCAATTACTCAGATGTCCACTTGCTTGACATAAATGGTCAGTTTCTTTCTTTCCTACTCGTAAAAGATCAATGTCCTAAATCCTCCTGTGGTCTCTGTATTGATGATGAACACAATTTCTGGATTGGTGCATCGGACAGTTCTACTGTCTCTGTGTACAAGTATCTGAAAAAAACGAAACAATATTTTATTTACGGCATTCATAGGTTTGAATCACAACCCCTATTGGCATGAACTCGGTTTCTGTAAAAACAAAAACAGTTCGACAAACTAATTCTTTTTCAAATTATGTGTCCAAGGTGTTGTGGTCATACAATATTTTAATCATTTTGTTTCAAAGGAAAAATAATTAAGATAAGCTTATTTAACTTGAAGTCATTGAGCTGGCAATAACATCATAATTTTCAATCAAACCGGAAGTATGTATCTTAACATCAACATCTAATATCTTTTGCGCTGCTCAGTTGTAAACTATTTCTATCCTTATCATTTAAACAACAAGAGTACGTAGACTTATTTGGAAATGATGATTAGGTAACAGCAGAAAAATATAATTATCTATATTCAGAGGTTGAGAAATTAAAAACCAAAATAATCTGATTAACTTTGAACATACATTTATTAATAGTTACATATACTGTATGTATATTTAAATATAAACATGATATTTTCAATAAAATAGATATGTATTTGTTCCATACTCTTGTATTTATCTTTTAGCTCACCTGATTTCTAAAATCAAATAAGCTTTTCTAATCACACGATGTTCGTCTGTCCATTTGCTCGTCTGTACTGCATTCTAAACTTCATTCAAAGAACCACTGGACAAGTTTCAATCTAAACTTGCATAAAAACATCCTTTGGTGAAAGAAAGTTTAAATTGTTAAAATGAATGGCTAATTCACCTGCAGAGAAGAAATAATAAAGAAGAGACAAAAGTATATATATGTAGAGTCTAGACATAAGCGCTTGACCAAAAAAATTGAATCTTATGGAACATAATATTCTGAGCTTCAGATAAAGGATATAGCATCAAGTCTGACACATAGATCTGTTTAATCTTTGGATATTGAAAAAGACAATAATGATAATCTAATAACCAAACTAAATGATAAAAGTGATGAATTTAACTTTTCATTGCTAGTTTCAATCATCAACGTGTCTTATTTCTATGCAGCTGTATACCTTCATATCACCTGCATCCGGAGTATATCTCAATTGATTCGATATGCAAGAATATGCTCTACATAAGAACTATTTCTAAAACGAAGTAAATTATTCATAAACAAGTTTCTGAAAGAAAAATATCAATGGTTTCGATTAAAGTCATCATTTCGAAAGTTCTATGGTTGATTTAATGACCTTGTCGGAATATACAATCTACCATTGAGTCAAATGCTGACTGACGTTTTTCATACCAATTGTTAGTCCATTATTTTTATTCTGTAACTACCCCTTTCATTGATCTAATAAAGATAACTTCATAACACAAAAACATTATCCAGTCACTGCTATAATAAAGCCTCGTGCATTTATTCCAATGTTCTAAAAGCATTGTGACGTCATACATATTGCATTATTTACGCTTTAGTGTCAAAAGTTTAATCTGCAGAGATATGCCAAATCTGTCGAAAATAGCTAGTTTTGGACGTTGAAATGTAATAAAAAAATATGTTGCAGGATAAACAAAATATATGATAACTGTCTTGAAATACTAGAGGTACTGTGAGCGATGAGCTCACTAAATAATATCCCCTCCTCCATACAGTTATAATGGCAAAGTCCATGTTTTGCCGTGGCCAGAAAACCCAAAATATGTGTCGGATCAAAAAGTAAAATAGGAGGTGCACAATGGCAATATAAAGATTATAAAATAAATAATATAAATATTAAAGATTCTGTGAAAGTCTCATCAAATTTTATTTAGTGGTTTAAGAGGAGTTGCGGATAAGAGATTGGTATCCCAAAAGCCTACCAGACGGACGTACAGACAAGTGGCAAATATTGCTGTACTCTCCCGCTTTTCAAGCGGGGGTATAAAAAGCGATATTTGGGATCGGTTCGATAACGTACGCCTCGCCCTAGATATCACGTTTTATCACCCTCGCCGAAATATCGCTGATACATGTATTTTAAAGACAGTGACAATGTATTTTATATATAAAATTGACAACGGATTTTTCCTTATTTTCCGATCATAACAAGGAGCACAGAGCGCGAGTGTTCGGTCGGCAACGCTCACACCTTCATGGCACCTGATCCAACTTCTGATGTTTTGGAGATGGATGTTTGCCGAAAGATTCGTGAATTTCATTGAAGTGTCGGGACTTTGTTTGTGTAGTGTCAATACAAATGATGTATACGTCTTAGTTTGATACTAACGGCTTGACAAACGGCTTAATTTAAGATCACTTAGCCGTCGTGACCGGATATAAAATATGTTTGAAACACTTTATGTACAAAGTTTTAATAATTAATGACACTCAGCTGCATCACAACTACAAGTCTTTTCTTTATCCCTGTTGTCTTCACTCTCTTC